GCAAGTTGCAGACATCTGTACACCCACTTATCCCTGTGTATTTTGTTAACTAAAGTTCAAGATATGTCTTTATTTTTTTTTCTTTTTCTTTCTTTATTTTTTGCCTGAATCAGGTCTTAGTTGCAGCACGTGGGCTCCAGGGTGCATGAGCTCTGTAGTTTGCGGCACATGGGCTCTCTAGTTGAGGCACCCAAGCTCAGTAGTTGTGGCACGCAGGCTTAGTTGCCCCAAGGCATATGGGAATCTTAGTTCCCTGACCAGGGATCGAACCTGCATCGCCTGCATTGGAAGGCAGATTCTTTACCACTGGACCACCAGGGAAGTCCCCAAGATATGTCTTTTTGATAGAACCTGTACTTAAAAATGTTTCCCCAGGGAATTTACCCTGGTGAAGACCCAGGATAGTGGGTAAGACCCCACCTTATCTGGGGTCCTGATTATTGAAAGACATGGGAGAGGGATGCTTTGTTCCAGATGAGGATTGGAATCCCTGGCCCTACCTCTTACCAGCTGTGTGGTTTTGGGCAGGTCACATCACCTGTCCAAGCCTCAGTTTCCCCATCTATAAAATGGGCTTAAGAAAAGCACTTACTAAAGAAGATGTGGCACATATATACAATGGAATATCACTCAGCCATTAAAAAGAATGAAATAATGCCATTTGTAGCAACATGGGCGGACCTAGAGATTGTCACACTGAGTGAAGTAAGTCAGAGAGAGTAAGGGAAATATTGTATGATATCGCTCATAAGCAGAATCTAAAAAGAAATGGTACAAATGAACTTACAAAACAGAAACAGACTCACCGACTTAGAGAACAAACTCATGATTACCAGGGGGGAAGGGTGGGGGGAAGGGATAGTTAGGGAGTTTGAGATTGACATGTACACGCTGTTATATTTAAGCCTGCGAGCCACAACTACTGAGCCTGTGCGCCACAACTATTGAAGGCTGTGCGCCCTAGAGCCCGTGTGCCGCAACATCTGAAGGCCACACACTCTAGGGCCTGTGTGCCACAATTACTGAGTCCGCGTGCTGCAGCTGCTGAAGCCCACACGCCTAGAGCCTGTGCTCAGCAACAAGAGAAGCCACCGCAATGAGAAGCCCTCTCACCGCAACGAAGAGTAGCCCCCGCTCGCCGCAACTAGAGAAAGCCCACTCACAGGAACGAAGACCCAATGCAGCCAAAATAAATAAATAAAATAAAATGGACAACCAACAAGGACCTACTGTACAGCACAGGGAACTCTGCTCAATATTATGTAACAACCTAAATGGGAAAAGAATTTGAAAAACAATAGATATATGGGATGGCTAGTGGGAAGCTGCTGCATAGCACAGGGAGATCAGTTGGATGTTTTGTGACGACCTAGAGGGGTGGGATAGGGAGGGTGGGAGGGAGGCTCAAGAGGGAGGGGATATGGGGACATATGCATACATATAGCTGATTCACTTTGTTATACAGCAGAAACTAACACACCATTGTAAAGCAATTATACTCCAATAAAGATGTAAAAAAAAAAAAGGGGGGCTTCTGTGGTGGCGCGGTGGTTGAGAGTCTCCCTGCCAATGGAGGGGACACGGGGTCGTGCCCCGGTCCGGGAAGATCCCACATGCCGCGGAGCGGCTGGGCCCGTGAGCCATGGCCGCTGAGCCTGCGCGTCTGGAGCCTGTGCTCCGCAACGGGAGAGGCCACAACAGTGAGAGGCCCGCGGACTGCCAAAAAAAATGGAAAAAAAAAAAAAAAAAAAAAAGAATAGATACATGTATAACTGAATCACTTTGCTGTACACCTGAAACTATAACATTGTTAATCAACTATATTCCAATATAAAATAAAAAGTTAAAAAAAAAGAAAAGAAAAGCACTTACATCTTAGGGTTGTTCTGAAGAGTCACAGACTGCACATGAAGCATCTGGCATGGTGTTTAGTACATAGTAAGCACTTGGCTAATGACAGTTTTGCCATTTTGTAGATGTTACTGCGTGGATAATCTTCCAGAACAAACTCTTTTCCTTGGGCACTAGGGTTTGGTTTTGTTCCTGGCAATCAGAAGCGTTTTAGGCCTGATCTGCCCAGGAACTGGTGCATGTGTAGGTTGAGTGTGAGGCCAAGGACCAAAATTCCCCTTGCCTTACCTTTGTCCTCAAGGTAGCAGGAAACCCCCTTGCAGGAGTCTTTGATCTCACTGGGAAGCTGGGGCCCAGGAAGGCCCTGCACAAGTGTGATTGGCCCCTTTATTGGAGCCTGTGAAGGCCAGTGTGTCACTGCTCCACCAGGGTTACCTGCCTGGCTGCTGTTGGCATCAGAGTTTGGACCCCTGATCTGCTGGTGAGGCGGACTCAGACTCAAGTATTTATGGTTCAAGACAGAATGCAGTGAGTCTGTAGATGCCTGCAGTGGCTCTCAGCAGGTGGTGATTTCACCCTCCAGGGGACATTGGCAATGTCTGAAGCCACTTTTTTTTTTTTTTTTTTTTTTTTTCGGGCCTCTCACTGTTGCGGCCTCTCCCGTTGCGGAGCACAGGCTCCGGACGCGCAGGCTCAGCGGCCATGGCTCACGGGCCCAGCCGCTCCGCGGCACGTGGGATCTTCCCGGACCGGGGCACGAACCCGCATCCCCTGCATCAGCAGGCGGACTCTCAACCACTGCGCCACCAGGGAAGCCCTGAAGCCACTTTTGATTGCCATCTTGAGGAGAGTACTACTGGCATCTAGTGAGTGGAGGCCAGAGATGCTGCTCAACATCCCACAAGGCACGCAGGACAGCTCCCTCAACACAGGATTACCCAGCCCCAAATGTCAGTGGGGCTGAGACTGAGAAACCCTGGATTAGTGGTGTCAGCAGCCTGGTCTGGAAGGGAGGGGTTGACTCCAGTTGTGGGCTCAAGAATGGCTGCCTGAAGAGAAGTGGTCTTGGTGGTGGCAGGCATGTGGTGACTGAGTTAGCTGGGAGAGACTGGGGGAAGGCATGTTGGGCAGAGAACAGCATGAGCAAAGGTACTGAGACATCTTTGATGGGGAGATGGGCGATAGTGTGGACAGTGAGATGGCAGGTGTGGTTCAAGGAGCATGAAGTTTGGGGTCAGATGGACTTGGGTTGAGTCCTGGCTCCACCCCTCGCTAGCCGTGTGGCCTCAGCCTTGTCATTAGCCTGAACCTCAGTTTCATCATCTGTAAAATGGGGGTTAAGAAGTGAGGTTATGTAGGTATAGCCTCCTATATCCCCACTCCTCTGCACTCTTTGTCCCAGCCGTTCTGATATCCTGGTAGTTTGCTCAATGCTTCCTGCTCTCTCTCCTTTCTGGGCACTCCTTGTACATTTTGCTCTGCCTGGAGGGATGCTCATATTCCAGGTGGAGGGATGACACCATAGGAGGTTGTAAACTGGGACACCCCTCAAGCTCCATGCGTGTTGCTGGCAGAGTGATCTTTCCAAAACACTAGTCTGAACATATCAGTGCCCAGAGTGTGTGTGTGTGTAGTGTGTGTGTGTGTGTGTGTCCGTGCACACACACACACAAATTTGAAGGCCAAGAGAATGGTGGGAAATTCCTAGGCCTTTACTTCAACTCCCTTCCCCATCACTTTTCTGGCCTTCAGGTGCCTTGGGGAAGGCCAGTGGGGACTCACCAGGCTTGAAGGGGGTGGGATTCTCTCTTGGTTAAAATCTCTGCTTCCTTCTCAAGTTAGGAGCCTGGTTACTCTACAACTTAGGGTCGAGGTATACAGGCCAGGATCCCATGGAGGCTACTGCCAGAGAGGCTGTGGGCAAGCCACCTAGCTTCTGTGAGCCTTCGTTTCCCCCTTTGTAGAACAGTATTTACAGGGTGTGGGTACATGGGATACTCCCTGCAAAGCTCTTAGATCAGAACCTGGCTGAGTATTTCTTAGCTGCTTTATAAAAATCGACCTCTTGGTGAATACCCTCTGTAAGCCTGGTATTGCGGGAGGCCCCGGGAGGACAAAGTCTTCTGACAACTGGTCTTGACTTACAGGATTGCTTGGTTTAGGATTTGTGGATTTGACTGACTGGGGACATGCAATTTTTAGGGAGCAATTCCATTTCTAGAAATTTATCTGAAACATGCACAAAGATTTAGCTCTAGATAGGTTCACAGTAGCGACTTACAAAGTGAAAAACTGGAAATAGCCTAATGTCCACCTCTGGGTTATTGGTTAGGTAGGTGATGAGACAAATAGAACCTTAACGCAGCCATTCAAGAGGAAGCAGAGGGATATTTGTTGATATGGAAAGATGTTTATTATTAAGTGAAAGTAATATACAATATTTGTGTATAAAAATATATATACACATGTATATATTTTAAAACCTGAATGCTAATACACCAACAGTGGGTAGATATCTCTGAGTGATTTTTACAATTCTTTTCTTATTCTAGATTTCCTTTTCTAAATTTTCTACAATGAACGTTCATTCCTTTTGTGAAAAATACAGTAATATATCTTATTAACTTTTAAATTATTTTGTTATTAAAATATAATAAATAAAAATAGTAATAAAAGAAAGGGCAATTTTACTAGCTGTTCCTGTCCCTCTTTACAGCCTTATCTCTCGACTCGATTCTTGATAACTCCCAATAAACATAGGCTCACCATTGCTACAATCCATTTCAGTATTTGCACGTTGTTAGCCTCAGAGAACCGTACTAGGCAAGGCGATATAAAGATGAACACTCACATTCTCCAGGTGATTTGCGTGCACGCCAAATTTTGAGGTGCCTGGAAACAGGGAGTTCTGTACCTCCCTCCATTTATTTTCTCTTTTAATTCATTTCACCCATTCCTAGCTTGCGGGTCGGCTATTTACTTTACGTACGCCTGCGCACTCCTGGGGTGGGAGTGGGGGCCGCTCTCTCCGGCGGCCCCGCCTCCCGACGCCGACCACTGGCCGGCTCCGCCAGCGCGCCCCTGATTGGTGGCTGCGGACCAGGTCTCGCCGCTCATCAAGGCTGGCGGGAAAGAGGAGGCGGGGCAGAATGGCGGCGGCGCCCACTACCTCCTCGCCCGGCGGGTGCTCCCCGGCTGTGAGGCTGCCGCGGTCGCCACCGCTCAAGGTTATGGCGGAGCAGCTGCGGCGCGACGCTGAGGGCTGCCCGGGCGCGTGGCGGCTGTCGCGGGAGGCGGCGGGCCGCGGGCCGCTGGAGCTGACGGCCGTATGGATGCAGGGCACGGTGCTGGCGGCGGGCGGCGGCGAGGCGCGGCTGCGGGACACGAGCGGGGCCTTCTCGGTTTGCGGCCTGGAGCGGGTGCCGCGCGGGCGGCCCTGCCTCGTCCCAGGTAACAGCCGGAGTCGACACCGCGGCTGACCCTGGGTTTGTACCGCCCGAGGGCGGGGCCTGGCCGTTCCATCTCCCGGTGTTTGCGGTGCTGGTCCCCCGCCTTGATACCCTTTCTTCCCTCCCCTCCCCAGCCAAGCGCCACCCAAGCAGTTCTGATGATAAGCATCACCTGCAGCCCATTCAAAAAATACAGTTTCCGAGGACTCCACCAGCCCTTCCATCTGGAGTCTCCGGGGGAGGGACCCCCAGCATGTGTATTTGTTAACAGAGTCCCTTCCCTACAGGTGATTGTTTTTTCTCCCTATCAAGTTTTGGAAAATATCATAGTGGGGAACTTGGTTCATCCCTAACGACTCTACTCAAATGTACCTTCCTTTGGGAAGCTCTCCCCAGTTCCCAGGAATGAGGAGCCCTGCTGTACCCCTCCTTCGTGGGACTGTCTTAGGCTGTAGTTCACTACTGTTTCCTTTTAAACCAGTGGTGCGCAAATTTGAGCATGCATCAGACTCACCCTGAGGTCTTGTTAAAACTGACGGCTGGGCACCACCCTCAGAGTTTGAGTCTGTCGGTCTGGGCGGGGCTGAGAATTTGCATTTCTAACCAGCTTCCAGGTACTGCTGGTGCCCGTGGCCTGGGGGCCACACTTTGAGAACCACTGGGCCAGACTCTGTATGGCAGGGCGGGCTCTGTGTCTTTCTGACAACTATTCTCAGTATTAGGTTGAACTTTTCTGGCCCTGACCCTTTCTGGCTGAGCTCCCAGGAGCACTTTTCTTAACCTTTCTGGACCTCTTACCAAAGGGACCAATAATTCCTGCCTGTTGTGTGGATTCAGTACATTTTTAAAATGTCCTTAACACAGCTCCTAGGCCATAGTGACCGTTGTTTTTTTTACTAGGCAATGCTCCTGCACGCTTCTCACCCCACCCTGGCTCCATCCTTCAGCCTCCCTCTCTGTCTGCCCTCCACTGCAATGTTAGTCTAGCACAAGATCGGCAAACTACAGGCTGCCACCTCTTTTTGCACAGCCCATGAGCTAAAAATGTTTTTTATGCTTTCAAATGGTTAAAGAAAAAACAGAAGATTTCATGACATGGGAAAAGTATCAATATATGCAATTCAAATATCCATGTCCATAAGTAAAGTTTTATTGGAGCACCGTCATTTAGATACATCTAGGGCAGTTTTCCCATTACAGCTACAGATCTGAATAGTTGCAACAGAGACGCGATGGCCTCAAAGCCTGAAATATTTAGTATCAGGCCCTTTACAGAAAAAGTTTGCCACCCTTGGCGTAGCATGTAGCACGAGCTGTTTGGTGTGCTGGTCCCCAGGCAATGCTCTTTGAAGGCAAGCTGGGGCTGTCTCCCATGTCTGGCCCCAGCCCTGGCATAAGGTTGGCACCAGTAGGTACCTGAGTGGGCATTGCACGTTGGTGAACCCATCTGACTTACCTACTGGCTTGTGTGCCTGGGCCATACCATTTTCTCTTGCTAATTAATACCAGGGCTTGATTGCCAAGTCTGACACTGGCTTCAGGTAGGGAGCCTGAAGAGTAAGCAGGCCACTGAAACACAAAGTGATGTCGTGGGCGCAGAAGAGGGGCAACTGATCCAGGCCTGTATGATCGGGGTGAAGGCCTAATAGAAGGGAGGGGCGTGGTGGGGAAGGAGAAGGAGAGACCCTGGAGAGAGACTCTGGCTGGGGGGGAAAGTGTGGGCAGCATGAACCAGACTAGTAACCAGGTGGTCTGTTCTCGGGAGGAAAGAGCTCAGGCCTTTGAGCTCACCCGTATAGTTGTGTTATACGCCTTGGTGTATGTAGGTTTTGAGTATGTGGATTCCGTGTTTACCTCGCCTGTTGGGACTGTCTGTGGGTTTGTTCTTCCTTTCCAGGGTCTTCAGTCATTTTCTGAGGGCTCCATCTCCACCAGCTTTTTAGGCCCATTCAGAGGGTGTGACAAGTGTATTTTTAGAATGAGCCTCCGTCGCTGAGGAGCCCCATGTTACTTGCTCAGGTAGAATGTAGGGATGGGTTCAGGGAAACCTAAGTACGCCGTGCCAGGAGCTGAAGACCAGAGGGTAAGGTGTCGGCTTGCCTGGCTTCCTTCAGTCAGAGCCCCAGGCCCAAGTACAAACCCAGTCCTGGAAGTCCAGTTGGAAGCAGTGTGATTAGAAGCAGCCTCGCAGGGGCACTCAGTGGGGGCTGGCGACGTGCCTGCTCTTCCTGCTGTGTTTGGGGTTTTTTACACAGTTGAGTTTTGTGTGGTTAAGACTGGCCATTTTTGCTTTCAAGGAGAGCCACTTCCCCAAGGGAATGGGAATAGAGTCGTGGTTAATATGTCATTAGATCATTGTGATGGCAGCCTGCCCTCTTGTTGATTTGCTTGCGTATGCCCAGCTGGTGGCAGGAGGTGGCAGGGATTGGTCCCAGGCAGTTGGAATAACGGTGGCATGGGGGTGCTACCACCTGCCCAGCTCTTTTGGCAACATAAAGGGAAAATTGGATTTGCTTTGGGGCTGTCAGGGGTTGTCTTTGCAGAAGGGGGACCAGTCCTGTGCACAGAGACCAGTCACAGGCTCTGGCATGGAGCAAGGAACAGGGAGAAGAGAAAAGCTCGGGTTTTCAGGCCCCGCCTTAGAGCAGTCTGTCTAATTACAACTCTTCCTCTGATGTGAGAGACTCTTCCACTCTTTGGGCATGATAGCTTTATGCAGTGTGCTGTGATTTTGTTTTAGCATTTTATTTTATTTTTTAAAATATTTATTTATTTATTTGGTTGTGTGGGGGTCTTAGTTGTGGCTCACTGGCTCCTTAGTTGGGGCATGTGAACTCTTAGTTGTGTTATGCATGTGGGATCTAGTTCCCTGACCAGGGATCGAACCCGGGTCCCCTGCACTGGAAGTGCGGAGTCCTATCCACTGCGCCACCAGGGAAGTCCCTGTTTTAGCATTTTAAAACCAGAAACCAAAGAAGATACAAATGTCATTCTCCAGGTTAAATGTGGAATTTGTTGGCAATATATGTATTTTGACCACTAGCTGCCTTGACACTTTGGTATCTACTCTCTGCTTTTTTTTTTTTTTTGTCTCCAGTTTGCCTCCCGGATAAATTTAAGCCCTCTCAAGGACTTAAGGTGTCTGTTTTGTTTTTATCTTCTCTATCAATGTGAACTTTACCACTGGGCTTTTCTTCTTCTAGGAAAGTATGTGATGGTGATGGGAGTGGTTCAGGCCTGCAGTCCGGAGCCATGCCTGCAGGCTGTGAAGATGACAGATCTTTCTGATAATCCCCTCCATGAAAGCATGTGGGAGCTGGAAGTGGAAGATTTACACAGGAATATTCCTTAGAGGATGTTGGAACTGTCGATAAAAACAACCGAAATTCAGAAACAACTTAGGTTCTTATACCGAATGGATTTCATGGACATTACTCAATATGTATTTCTCAAAAGTTTATCACAGAGCTTTGCTTCGAGGAGTCTGGATGTAGGATTTCTAAATGCTGGGACACTCCGGTAAACTCAGCCCCTGCTGCCCCTTGCTATGACTGTTTGCTGATGAAAAGCAGATGTTTTGTTCTCTTTCTCTTTTTCCTCTCCTTTTTTTTATTTTTTTTTGCTTTATGTGTGTTAATTCTCTCTCTCTAAAGCACACAGAAATCTCATGTTGCATTTTCCAAGTTTTACAAGTGATGATACTTTTTCCATTACCACTGCAACCCTACTTTACGAGGCAGAATTTGAACCTCAGTCATTGTCAGGAGAGAGTAAAGTGTGTGGTTATGGGCAGGAAAAGAGGCTGCATAAAAAAGGAATGACCTCATGGCTCGGCAGTCTTCTCCATCAACAGCTCCGTATCCAGTTTGCAAGTCAAACGGCATTTTCTAACTGCAGGCACTGGGGCCTCTCAAAGACACAGCCCTCTTTCTGCTTCAGACACCACTCAGCCCTAAATGTGTAAGGTCCATTCCCTGCAGATGTGGACGATGATGTCTGCCCTTCTTCCTTCACTTAGGGCTGTTGAAACACTTTCAGAATTTCTTGTTGAAACTAAAAATCAAGACCAAGAACCACTTCCAGGCGTGAACTAAACTTCTGCCTCATAACTTTTGGTGCGATGCTGCGAGGAGGCAGCCGCCTGGTTAGAGTCTTTATGTTGTTTTTGGTAGGGAATGTCCTTCTGCTGTGATTGTGTTCAGTGTTGGGTGGCAGCTCTTCACTTCTTACACAACCTTCACTTTGCCTGAGACTGTAAATATCAAGGGGGTCAGGTTATGTTCCTCATTGCTATGGAGTTTTGCTGGATTATTTATCTCTACCACTAGTAAATTGTTTTCTATGCCGTATTTTTTAAAATAGATTTTAGTTTTTAGGCGGCTTAGATTTCTAGAAAAACAAAAAAGAGCAGAACCTATAGCGATGACCTTTACATGCCCTCCCTCAGTTTCCCCTGTTATTAACATCTTGCGCTGGTGTGGTACCTTTGTTAAAATCAATGAGCCAGCATTGATATGTTATTATTAATTAAAGTCCATTGTTTACTTAGGGGTCATGCTTTGTGACGTACAATAGGCATAATATCACGTATCCACTATTACAGTATCATACAGAATAGTTTTGTTGCCCTAAAAGTCCTCTGTGCTCCACCGAATCATCCTTCCCTCCGCCATAACCCCTGGCAACCACTGATTTTTCTGTCTCCATAGTTTGCCTTTTCCAGAATGTTATATAGTTGGAATCACACAGTCTATAGCCTTTTCAGACCAGCTTCTTTCAGTTAGCAATATGCATTTAAGGTTCCTCCATGTAGTTTTGTAACTTGATAGCTCATTCATTTTTATCCTAATCCTCCACTGGATGGATGTACCATAGTTTGTTCATCCATTCACTTATTGAAGGACATCTGCTTGATTCCAGTTTTTGGCAATTATTAATAGGGCTGTTGTAAACATTCGTGTGCAGATTTTGTGGGACATAGGTTTTCAGCATACCAGGGTAAATGCCTGGGAGTTCAATTGTTGGTTACACGGTCAGCCTATGTCTAGCCTTATAAGAAACTGCGAGACTGTCTGTCTCAGACTGCCATAACTAAACACCATAGACTTGGGGCTTGAAAACATCAGAAGTTTACTTTTCAAAGTTCTGGAGGCCAAAGTCAAGGTGGTTCAAGGTGCTGCCTCCCGTTTCACAGGTGGCTGTCCTCTCACTGTGTCCTCACATGGTACCAGGGGGCAAGGTTGCTCCCTGGGGTCTCCTGTAAGGGCACTGATCATGTTCACCTCCCAAAGGCCCCACCTCTGTACCATTACACTGGGGCCTAGGTTTCAACATGAATTTGGGTTAGGGAGAATACATATTCAGTCTATAGCACTTTGGAGGGGACATCCTCAGTCTGTAGCACTTAGGAGGGGACATCCTCAGTCTGTAGCACTTTGGAGGGGACATCCTCAGTCTGTAGCACTTTAGAGGGGACATAGTCTGTAGCACTTTGGAGGGGACATAGTCTGTAGCACTTTGGAGGGGACATCCTCAGTCTGTAGCACTTTGGAGGGCACATAGTCTGTAGCACTTTGGAGGGGACATAGTCTATAGCACTTTGAAGGGGACATAGTCTGTAGCACTTTGGAGGGGACATCCTCAGTCTGTAGCACTTTGGAGGGGACATCCTCAGTCTATAGCACTTTGGAGGGGACATCCTCAGTCTGTAGCACTTTGGAGGGGACATACCCAGTCTGTAGCACTTTGGAGGGGACATCCTCAGTCTGTAGCACTTTGGAGGGGACATATTCAGTCTGTCGCACTTTGGAGGGGACATTCAGTCTGTTGCACTTTCGAGGGGACATATTCAGTCTGTAGCACTTTCGAGGGGACATCCTCAGTCTGTAGCACTTTGGAGGGGACATATTCAGTCTGTAGCACTTTGGAGGGGACATCCTCAGTCTGTAGCACTGTGTTCCAACGTGGCAGCACCATTTTGCTTTCCCATCAGCAGCGTATGGAGTTCTTGTTCTACAGCCTTACCAACATTTGATGTTGTCAGTGCTTTGGTGTGCCATAATTTTAAACTCTAGCATTTTCTTTTAAAGGTGGGGACATTGGAAACTGTGCACTGGTTTTTTTGGTTTGTTTTTATAGTAAACTTATTTATTTTGGGCTGCGTTGGGTCTTTGTTGCTGCATGTGGGCTTTCTCTAGTTGCAGCGAGCGGGGTCTACTCTTCGTTGCAGTGCACAGACTTCTCCTTGCAGTGGCCTCTCGTTGCAGAGCACAGGCTCTAGGTGCACGGGCTCAGTAGTTGTGGCACACGGGCTCAGTAGTTGTGGCTCGTGGGCTCTAGAGAGCAGGCTCAGTAGTTGTGGCACACGAGCTTAGTTGCTCTGCGGCATGTGGGATCTTCCCAGACCAGGGCTCGAACCCATGTCCCCTGCATTGGCAGGCGGATTCTTAACCACTGAGCCACCAGGGAAGCCCCCAAGCCCTTCATTTGTCATTAAACGTGCTGTGTGACTGTGAGCAAGTTACCTACCTTCTCTGTGCTTTAGTTTCCTTATCTATAAAATGTGGATTATACCGAGCTCACAGCACTGTTGTGAAGGTGTGTGTAAATCACTTTTACGTGTGTCTGGCACATGGTAGGCCCCAAATGATTGTTGCTGGGAAGAGCACTAAGTTCCTACTCACATCCATTAGTTGCCTCTTAAAAATTTTATATATTTTAATTTATTTTTATTATTATTATTTTTTTCTTGTTTTTGGCCACACCACATGGCTTGCGGGATCTTAGTTCCCCGACCAGGGATTGAACCTAGGCCCTCGGCAGTGAAAGTGCGGAGTCCTAACCACTGGACTGCCAGGGAATTCCCTATATACTTTTAGAATAGCTTTAGATCCACAGAAAAATTGCAAAGACAATACAAAGAGTTCCCATACACCTGCACCCTGTTTCCTTTATTATTAACATCTTACATGAATATGACACATTGGTTACAATTAGTGAACCAGCACTGAGATGTTATTAACTAAACTCTATCCTTTATTCAGATTCCCTTAGTGTTTTTCCTAATGTCCTTTTTCTGTTCCAGGATCCCATCCAGGACACCCTATGACATGGAGTCGTCTTGTCTCCTCAGGCTCCTTCTGGCTGGGACGGTTGATCAGTTGCTTTTGATTACATTGACATTTAATTTTGATGTAGTCCATGGCATCTCCATTATAGGATTCTTAGGTCAACACTTTATTCCAAAACTAGTGTGGGTTTCCCAATAGTAGCCCCTGAGCTGGGTGTGTGGTAGCCTCCTGAAGACCTTAAAACCGAAGTCGACCCTACTGAGGTTCCCTTATGTGACGCCTGCTCTTCTGCTAGAAGACTGACCCAGGCTGCTGAGAACCATATCCTGCCCACTTCGCCCTCACCTAACTTCTGGTAACAAATGCCTGATTGAAAATCGCTGATTGGGCCGATATCGTTGCCTGGGCAGTGAACAACCTCAGGAGTGTGGGAGGTGGGAAAACGAGCCTGCCCCATGTTTTTCTGACAGTCCGCACAGACTGCCGACGGCTCCCAGTGGCTCCGAGCTGGCGGTGTGCCATCTCGGCATGTTAGCTGTTAGTTGAGCTGTTGCGGTTTCCCTGAATATTAAGAACTCTCACTGTTCGGCTAGCGTTTCCTCCTTGACATCACAAAAGAAAATGCATCTCGGGCGGGGGTTTTAGTTTTCTGATGCCAAATCAAAGCTGGTTTATCAGCAAGCTCCCCTCACCAGACAAGGGCAGGCTGTGTGCTCTGGCTGCAAAGCTTCCCTTTTGAAATTGGCTCTTTTCTAAGAACTGAAAATAAGCACCCTGGGCTGTGACTTCACTTTTCTTGGAACTGCTTTACATTATAAGAAAAAAAAAAACAAAAAACCCTCATTTAGCTAGTTTTGGATCACTGAGTTCCCTAATTCTTTCTGTTGTATATTCTTGTAAAGCTGAAGTTTTACCGCAAAATTCTTATGCATCAGGTGAAGCAGGAAGGAGAAGGAATGACCACATGAAAAAGTCAAGTGTTTTGTCTCCTGGCCTGTTGTGTGTGATTTAATGGTGAGAAGGCAAAGAACCTGGAGAACACACCGCGGACAGAATCATCTTCAAACCCCAGGGATCCAGCTGCGACTGCGCGGCCCTGAAATCCGTTGGGCCACCAAATGGGCTAGGCTGGTGTTACTAAACCTCAGGCCATGGTCCAAATTCACTGAGAAGCTGCCTGTGTGTCAGGATGAGGGGAAAACACACATCCTCGGCCATAGTGACCTACATTTAGCAGACATCGTGGAGCCTGTGCAAAGGATGACTTTCAGGGGCCCCTGTC